AAAATTTAAAAAAAAAAAGGGAAGCTAATGATACCAAGGTCACAGGGTAACAGACAAGACAGGTGGTATGATCCCCTAGCACCACCCATTCACTACAGTCATCTCTCTCTCTTTCCCCTTCACCCTCTCTCCACTTTCCTAATTTACCATCTCTTCCTTTTCCTATATCCCTTTTTCTTTTTATACTGTATTGTAGCAAAGCATATGAACTTTGCATTCAGATAACCCTGTGTTCAAATCTAAGGCTCATTCCTTACTGTGTGACTTTGGCCAGATCATGTAACCTAAGCCTAAATTTCCTCAACTATAAAAGGATAAAATCTTCAAAAAAAAAAAAAAAAAAAAAGGATAAAATCTTCTACCTTTTAGGCTGTTGAAGGGATTATCAGATAATATGTATGAAGAGATGACCAGGTCTCTAGTAGACTAAATGTGACTTGAACTTGGAGAGTGAATAAGGCTTGGTAGCATACAATTTAGAATTGGACAGTCTTGGATTTGAATCCCTGCTTCACCACTTACTGGCTAAGTGATTTGGGCAAGTCTTGTAACCTTATAGATAAGTAAGTAAACTTATAGATAAGCTTCCTTATCTATAAGATGGAATCTATAGTATAGACTAAACAGATTTGGGAGATGATCAAATGGAATGATAAACATTTAGAAACTATAGATATGGAACAAATAAAGCTTCGACTCAGTAGAATTTGCAGTAGTGACTTGTTCTCTACAGGCCCATGTTTGTGGATGCCTGATCTATTTATCAAATGTGTCACCACTAAGAACTAGGAAGTGCTGAAGCACTAAAAAATGCTAATCTCGAACATATCTTTTGAGGTTGTAAAATATAAAAAGAGGAAGATAGAAGAGTACAGTATAATGAAAAGACCACCATAAGAGGCACAGGTCCAGTCCCACTTGGGCCTTAACGGCCGGTATAACACCACATAAATCACACAGCTGTATCTGGAACATGAGGGGTCTGGAAACATTTTTTATTTTCCTGACTGGGATTGCTACTGGCATTTAGAAGGTAGAGGCCAGAGATGCTGCTAAACACCTTACAGTGTGCAGGACAGACTTCTACAGCAAAGAATTATCAATAGTAGTGAGGTTGAGAAGCCCTAGCCTAGATGACTGCTAAGTTCCCGTCAAGCTCTAACATTCTAAGAGATTATGATGAGGCAGCACCAACACCACCTAAAAGATGACATTCTTGCCAACATCTATCATGCAAAGGCTTATGATACTGCTCAAAATCCCCCTACAGTCAGTGGCGGAATTTTTTCCCTCTAATATTTGAATATTCTGAAATCAATACTATATTTTTGTGGGTAAGGACAGTCCTTCCCCATAACAGGAAGAGACTTAGGGATGAAGAGGACTCAGTCCTCCAGGGACTTGGTCTCTGGCTCTTTGCAGTGAGAATCAGTGTTTCCAAAGCCATGAGATTCCTTCTGGGCAAGATGATTTAGGTAACTCTGATTCAAGGTCAGAATAAGATAATACACATAACAGCAGAGGTGAATCTCAAATACATCATGCTAATTCAAAGAAGTCAGACTCAAAAGGCTACATACTATTCTAATACATTTACATGATATTTGGGACCAGACAAAACTGTAGTGACAGAAAAAAGATTAACAGATGCCAGGGGCTGGAAGTAAGAAGAATAGTTTGACTGCAAAGGAATATAAAGAGATTTGGGGAATGATGCACTGTTTTATATACTGATTATAGTATAAGCTACACAACCATGTTTGTCAAAACTCATAGAACTGCACACTGTACACTAAAAAGGTGAATTTTACTGTATCTAAATTATACTTCAATAAAATTGCCCGGGTGCCTGGGTGGCTCAGTTGGTTAAGTGTCCGACTTTGGCTCAGGTCATGATCTCATGGTTCGTGGGTTCGAGCCTCATGTCAGGCTCGGTGCTGACATCTCGGAGCCTGGAGCCTGTTTCAGATTCTGTGTCTCCCTCTCTCTCTCTGACTCTCCCCAGCTTGCACTGTCTCTCTCTCTCAAAGATAAACAAACTTTAAGAAAATTTTTTAATAAAAATAAAAATGCCCCCTCTCACCTCCACCCCCAAAATAAGATCACAAATGCTATGGAGAAAATTGTTATACTTTGGGAGAGGATGAACTGGATGACATCAAAATTCTTACCACCCCATGTCCTATGATTTTATGACAATCTGCCTCTCCTATCCTGGTGATCTCAGGGTTAAGTCTGGGCTCCAATATCTGTGTTAAAGCAATGGGTGCCTCTAACGAACTTATATGCATATGAGTTCTGCCATCATTCAGGGATAGCTGGCCCTATTTTAGCTTGTGACAGAGGCTCTTTCCCTGCTGTCTCCTATCTTAATTCCCTTTGGGACTGATGAGGGCCTTAGACAATAAACAAGTCAGAATAAACCTCAGGGGACACTGGTTTTATCTCTCTGCACAGGCTTCCTGTCCAAATGGAACACTTCATCTTTTCCACTGAACTTCAAACCAAGCAAGAGAAGAAGAATCATATTTATTAACTCCCCTCCACTATGGACTTCCGGGCTTCCCACCAGATTATTTTTACACACTAACCCTATATAAATGTACAAGGTGAGCTTCACTCCTAAATTATACCCAAGTTTGGTGAGACATTTATAGATACAGATACGTAGTTTTGTTTTCTTTACATACATCACTGGCCCAGATTATTACTCTAACAAATGTTACACAAAATAGTTAACTTTTCTTATTTCCATATTTAGGTATGCTATAGCCAGGCATGACTGAAATAGCCATCAGAATGTTCATACTTTCTGCTAATAAAGACCACTGTCTTCTATGACACATATGCAGTCACAACTGTGAAATGCTGAGGAGTTCCATTCTCTTATTTGAGTCAGCTCCTTTCTTGCTCTGCATGGAGGGTCTCAGTGGAACAGTTATAAACACCAGGAACCAGATACCTCATACATTCTTGAGTGCTAGGATAAAAACCAAGGTCCAAAAGACAAGCCTGGACCTGCCAGTGCCTTTATATTCCAAAGGACAGACAATTTGGTAGGGACCAGGTACTATCCACACTGCCCTTTTCTGCCCATTTACAGCAAACACATTGTGACTATAAACATGGGGTGCTCATTACAACAGAAGGGGCTCACAGAAACAACAAACCCCATAGTGGACTAGGGTCTTATTTCCATCTGTTCCCTTCAGAAAAGAAAGGGGGAATTACACTCCCGTGGTTTGAAATTACTCAATCATCTTCAGAAGTCTACAGTGGCAAAAAAAATCAGTACTGTCCCCTAAATCACTTAAACTTTTTTTTTTTTTTTTTAATAATTGCTTATTCTTGAGAGAGAGAGAGAGAGAGACAGAGAGAGAGGCAGACAGAGGAGCCACACTGACAGCAGAGCACGATGAGGAGCCTGAACTCACAAACCATGAGATCATGACCTGAGCTGAAGTCAGACACTTAACTGCCCGTGCCACTTGGGCACCCCTCACTTTTTTTTTTTTAACCTTTTAAGCCACTCAAACTTGATAACATTGCTTCTTTAGCATAATCAGTAAAAGTTTCACAAAAAACTAAAACACTTAGCAGAAAACATACTTTAGCTTTTTATTCAAAAGTATACAGACTGATGGGCTGCCTGGGTGGCTAAGTTGGTTAAGCATCCAACTTTGGCTCAGGTCATGATCTCACGGTTCCTTCAGTTTGAGCCCTGCATCAGGCTCTCTGCTGTCAGCGCAGCAGATCCGCTGTTCCCCTCCCCGCTTTCTGCCTCTACCTCACTCATACACACGCTCGCTCTCTCAAAACTAAACATTAAAGAAAAAGTATGCAGACTGACAGGGAATGGTTGTCCAGGGTTCCCCCCAAAATATTTCCATTTCCAGGGGTATTTCCTAAGAACTGATTCCTACAGTGTTTTTTCATATGTAAGTATGATGATACTGACCCACAGAAGGCCAAATAAATGATTTTTCTAATTTTAGGGATGGACTTTCATAGAAAATATCCTGGTAGCTGCTAAGGTGAGGGCTATTATCTGTAGTCATAGAACTGAATGAGGCAAGGTTTGCTGGGCATCACCGGGATTGAATGCATGACCTTCAACAATGCTCAAACTAGGACAATACTGCTGCTTCACAGAAACAGAGAGAAGCCCTATAGACCCAGCTGGCCAGACCTGCCGCCTCAGAAACTTGTGAGAGAGCTAAGTAGCACTACCAGACACAGGAAGGGTGACCTACAGTCTTGCTAAGAAGGCCTTGGCTGGTTCTCTCAATCCTAAACAGATTCATTAATTTCACTTCTCACATACTTGCAGGCCACCAGACTAGCTGTCTAGCCCTTTTACACTCAGCCTAGGGCCATAAGCTCAAGCCTGACTCTCAAAGATACTAGCCTCTAGGATTCCTGGGCCCTTTTGCTGTATATAATAAAGGGCACGTTTTAGGTGAGCCCATTTATCTGTCATAGGAGTAGAACACTACCCAAACTAATTTCTACCCACCTGAATCATGCTGTGGCCCAAGCCTAAATGGACACTAGCCAACTTTCATGACCTGAGCAAGCAGTCTTTTCCCATCTCCTTTCTGCAACTGAAGCCTCTCACTAGTATTTCTCAGATCAGGACATCATTAGCTTCTGACCAAAATATTAAAGTAAGAAATAGCCAGGGCCCAACTCCATGTTAATTTCCCAATAATTATCCAGTTAGAGATGAGAAAAATAGGGGCACCTGGATGGCTCAGTCGGTTGAGCGTCTGACTTCGGCTCAGGTCATGATCTCACGGTTGGTGAGTTCGAGCCCCGCGTCAGGCTCTGTGCTGACGGCTAGCTCAGAACCTGGAGCTGTTTCAGATTCTGTGTCTCCCTCTCTGACCTTCCCCTGCTCATGCTGTCTCTCTCTCTCTCTCAGAAATAAATAAAACATTAAAAAAATTAAAAAAAAAAAAAAAAAAGAAATGAGGAGAGTAAAGGAAAAATGGCATTACCACATCCTGAGATGCATACTGGGGGTCTTCTGGGTTGACTGACCAGTAGCAATAATCAAAGCCAAATGCCACAACCTTCTCCCGAGAGTCGCCAAAGCCATCTGGTCGACTGTCCACCTAAAATCAAACACAGGATAGTCTCTTCTATCATAGTATCAGAATGTAGCCAGTGTCACCTGATTCCTCCCTGTTATAGCTAGAGAGACCTAAACTGGTCATGAAAATCTTTATGTTAACTACCTGAAAAAAGAAAAAAAAAAGTAACCTTTGTCATTTCCTCAAATAAAACTCCCAGAGAATTAAAGATGCCTATCATACTATCACCTATCTGCCTACATCTGAACAGCTTAGGAGAGAAAGCCTTTCCCTCTCTGAGCATCTTCTTATCACTATCATTTTTTTCTCCAAATATTTCCATAAAGAATACCAGGAGTGCATGCATAGTTCGGTGCCTGAGTCTGACAGAGTCTACCAACCTAGGGCTTTCACAGAGGTCCCTGGGTATGCACCCCCAGTGAATTAGGAAGCACACTGGACAGAAGAGCAAGCACCAACCCAACTGTCCGAAGTAGATGAGGGTAGAGCCAGTTTGGAACCACAGTGACCTCCAGGTATTAGAGAATGCTATTATTCCCAGAAATGTCTTGTTTTACTATTTAATATTTAGACTCTGAACAGAGATAGACAACCCCCTAGCACTAGCCACTATAAACTACAGTAGAAAGAGGCTGTCAGAATGACTAAGAAATTTTTAGTGGATAACTGACTCCAAGGAAGTACACAACTAAGGAGGTGTGCAGGGGGCAGATTAGAGTTTGATCTTGGCCCGGATTTATTCTTAAAAACCAAAACTCTCAGCTTTCAGAAAAAAGCCCCTGAAGTGTTTACGTAACAGATATATAAATAAGAGACAGCAGAGAATAAAAGGTCTTTTGTCCCTGGGGATCTCCTGTTGAAAGTTTGGCAGGTCCTGTTCACTTTTACCACAGAGCTGCTGTCAAAAGGAAATAAATCACATCACATGAGTGGGGCATGGCTGAAAGGCTTGGGGTCTAGATAACCCTCACTCTTGCAAGTCAGCTTCCTTAGCTCTCAGTCACATGGCCAGCTTCCTTCTCTCACACCCCAAGGCCAAGAAAGAATCTCTTCCACTTCTACTGTTGTGGTAAAGGAAGGAATGGGATGGAGGAAATTAGCCCTGGTAGGGGGTAGGGGGTGGGGAAGGAAGTTCCCAGTGTTTGTTCAATTGTGACTCAAAGGTCAGTCAGATCTGTGAAAGAAAATCTGTAACAAGACTCAGGACAGTGACCAACTCCATTCTGGGATCTGGTGCATACTAAAATCTCTGGTAATGATTCTAGATTAAGTGATATCAAATGAGAGGCTTGGGACCAAGCCTAACTGATGGTCAGGTGAGTTAAATATATCCACAGATATACCCAGCATGACTTAAACTGTCCATGGTGCCCATAAGCAGTTAGTAACCAGTTTCTAAACAACTGTACTCTATGTGACAGAACGTGGGCTACAGTGCTACAATCCCTGTACTTCTTTCCTGCCTTATTTTTATACTTGCTTTGTACATAGGTCAAAACTCTTCCCTCTCCCGATCCTCCAACCTAAACACATCTTCATCCCAGAAGCCCCTGTAATCATACAAAGATCTCAGTGGAAAGAGAAAGGAAAACAACTGCAGGCTTACCTTTAAATTTCTGATTTTTGCCACTTTGCCAGCAACTTCCATGATAATTCTTCCCCCTTCTTTGATCTCCCTAGGAAAAAAGACCCAAATTCATATGAGAAGAAACATTGCTTTAAAAAAAAATCAAGAAAAGGGAAGCTGAGATCAGCGCTATTGGGACAAAATGTTTCCCTACTGCTGTCTCCTAAGTAGCTGTCCCCTGGCAGACATGCTTCTCTGGATCATTAGAATTTGGCTCTGGAACAACTAAGAATTACCACTACTGAGCACCCTCCGTGTGGTAGGCACTGTATTAGGTATAGTACATATTATACTTCATCTTATGCAATCTTCCCGCTAACACAATCTCCTGACACGGCTTCCTACCATATCTTCGTTTTTTTTAGATGGAAGACTGAAGCTGAGAGAAATTCTGTAACTTGTCCAAGCTCAAACAACAGCAGTGGCAGAGCTGGGGTTTCAACCCAGATTTACCTGACCATAAAGCCTGGGCTCTTAACCATGCCTTACAAATCAGGCTTCAAACTCTGGAATGTATCCTTCGCTCAGAGCACAGCAGAGCATCCCCTCTCATTTTCTCTTGGATTTTGAGCACAGGTGATAATGAAAAAGGTTTTGGACAGTGTAACTGATTCTTAAAGTATTAGTGTAGAAGTAAAAAAAAAAAAAGTTTTTAAACTTAATTTGGGGACAGCTTTTTTCTGTTTACAGTATAGTTTATCATCTTCTTCCTTCCCTTTCTCAAAAAAAATATAGTTTGGAATTCACAGAAACAAAACCAGCAAGTCTTGAGATTTTTTTGAGTTAGGGTGAAAAAGATAGTTGAAAATTAATACATACTTTCTCAGTGAATAAAGTTGTAGCTGTCATATTAAGTAGGCAAGTTTACATGCTGGTGTTTAGAAAATGGATAAAATATTAAAAACCATGTTGCATTAATCTGTTTTAAGTCATACCATTTTCAGAGTTCTATGTAAGGTGGGGTTTTGTTTTCTTTTTAGGGATAGTTTGTAATAGTAATAACTGTCCCTTATGTTAGTGAATTACATATGTACAAATTGAAACTGTAAATTGTGAACACTGGAAAGCACCATTGTGACATAGAGTAAACATCTTAGTAATATATTAAAATGAATGTAAATGGAGGTTAAAATTACATTACTGTGAAACTCATCTTCCAACTCTAAGTTAAGCTTTGGAGATTTGTATTAGTAGGTAACTAAACACTGCACATTTCTGTACAAGCCAAGATTATCATTTCTTTGTAACTTATTATTCAGCTTGGCAGTTGCTTTTGATTTGGTGAATTGATAACATGGTATATATTTAAGCAGTTTGAAACTATTCATTTCTACACACTATTTTTTAAAATCATCTACTAGAATGAAACATACAATAAAACTACCTGTGCTGAAATTTGGGGGAAGTTTAGGTCCTTTAAAAAAAAAAAGTATTAATAATCATTGACTACATCTATGATAAAAGTGCTTATTTTGGTTTACTTAGATAATGCTGCAGTTGGTGGAAATGATAAACATTTAAAGTGTTAACACTCTGTGAATGCCTTGGATTTAAGAGAATAAACATTTTATAAAAATAAAAAAAAATAAAAAAAATAAAAAAAAAAAAAAGGTTTTGGAGTCATCTCTGTTGAGATGTTGAGAACATATTTCCCAAATCCTTTCATTTAGTCTTCCTAAATCGGAATGAGAGCCAAGACACTCAATAATTTTTCTATGTTGCTCAATGCAATCCCAATCAAAACTGCACCAGCATTCTTCTCAAAACTAGAACAAACTAGGGGCGCCTGGGTGGCTTAGTTGGTTAAGCATCCGACTTTCACTTAGGTC